TTTTTTTTTTTTTTTTTTTTTTTTTTTTTTTCGTAAATTTATCGGCTCTTTTTTTCCTACGGCACGAAGGAAGGCAGTCGAGGACGTGTGCGGCTGTGCGAGTGCACGGAACGCGAACAGGAAAACGCTGCGATTTATAGTAACTGCAGCACCCTGCCGGACAATATTTTTGGCGGCATTTTTGCCGGAGCTCCTGCGTGCGCCTTTTTGCTCCTTCTCCTTCTTCTTCTCCCTCTCCATCCTCCTCTCCGTTGTCATTTTTTTCATCCCGTTTTCGTTCAATGCTCGCTCTCCATTCCACAAGCGTTATCCTCGCTGGCAGAGACCAGCCCATTTCCACGTAGTAGCTGCCCTATAGTCTGCTGCCCACCCCTAGAGAGCAAACTATAACCTCACCCGTCCCCCGTTCTCGACTTCGCGCGGGCAGGGGGGGGGGCGGCTCGATAGTTTCGTCCATGGAAACCCACCGGAACACGTCGACTGCAGCGAGCGGGCATTTTGTTTCGTGTCAATCGAGGGGCAAAACGAGGCGGCATTTTCAATGGTCGACGTCGATGCGTTGCACCGAAAAAGAGAGGTCGTATTCTCGGGAGTAGGGGTTGCACGGCGATATAGCCAGATCTGAAGAGAAAGAGCAACAGAGTTCAGTGGGTTTTTAACGGAAGAAAATCCCATTCGGTAGTTTTGCCTCTGAATAGCCCTCGTGTCTCGGGGGACAGAGCAAGCGAAGTTTTCTCATAGGGCTTCTCAGTTTGGTCAAAGAACTATCGAACTATTGTATTCCCTTAATCTATTAGGAAGGACGGTAACGGATTAATTACGTCAACATACCGTCAGAGATCTAATCTAATCGATTGGTGCCTCATTAATATTGTCAAAAAGAGAACGACATTCGTTCCGTACGTTTACGACCTATCCGGTGCATCTAGCGAGAGAAGGGGGGAGAGAGAGAGAGAGAGCACGATCGTCCCCGCGGAGAACAACAAGGTAACAAATATTTTGCCAGTTAGTTAATTTTTATTTCATTCTCTTCCTACGTTTGTTTTCTTCCCTTTTTGTTGGTATTCTCCCTGTGGTCCCGGTGCTACGCGTTGGCCGACCTCCATTCGGGCCAATGGTGGTTTCGTGTGTTAAAGAGGGCCAGACAATTGTGTGAGTACACAAATTTCGTGTACCTCTGTGTGCCGCACGTGCATGCAGAATGGGGGCCGATTTCCGCGGCAGTTTCAACGTTAATTTTGGGCAGTCGTGCATCAAGGCCAACCCCTCCTAAATACGTGCAGTCGCAATGACGACACTGCTGATATTTCGTCTGGGCTTCGTGAGTCTTCACTTTATTTATCAATTAATTGTAAGCACGTTTCAATGCTCCATCGATGAATTAACGAATGGTCAACGAGCAGATCCGCCCAGAGCCTGCTGCCACAGTTATGACGATAACAGGACGTCGTAATAATGCTGCGCCATTTTTAGGCGCGAACAGATACACGGATACTCGCACTCGTGCAGAGACCGTCTAGGCAAGGGGTTGGAATATCGATGGACACCTGGAATTTACAATTATGGAAGTCCTAAATTTCATAGAATTAATGCATTGCCTTTATCGAACTAGAATGCAGCTTGCAAAAATATGCTGCCGCTGTGTTTGCATGAGATTTTATTATTATATAATACTTATTATTATAAGCGAGAATAACAGTATTTTTTTTTAAATAGATTAAAACTTTAATCAATGCGATTTGGGAATAAAATATCAATTATATTATATTTATGTGGAAATTGGACTACTTGAAAAGTAGTAACAATTTTTCAGCAATAAAAATAAAGGCGAACTTATCTGATTACAGTGAGGATTCCCGCTGTGCCGTTCCCGAAGTCTGCCCATAGAGACACGGCTTTTACTACATGCTATGGAGGATTTATTGGTAGAAATAAATTTACCATCGGAAACTTGCAAGTTGCGTTGAGAACGAACGGGCGCCTGTAATAAAGCCCGCTATGAAATATGCTCGTGTACCAATTCCGCTTCCATTTACTTTTTTCGAGTTACATACACGTGCATATGCGTCTCCGTCTATTGGTCTGTCTACGTGTAAACGCATACCACTCCCCCCTCTCTTTCTCTCTCTTTCTCTCTTTCCCTTATTCTTTATTTCTTCCAACTTATCCTATTTACTCTTCGTCTACAACGCGCGGCCCACTTTCTTGTCAATTGTCCTACCAACAGCGACATCTCTCTGCCCCATTATTCCTTCTCCCTGATTTGTCCACTTTTCTATTTTCAAGTTTTCTGTGTCTCAAGCATCTCCAACACCGCAACTAATATGACCGATATTATCACTGGCGACGGTATCGCTATCAGCACCAGTAGTACCAGCCACATTAGTAAGATGCCCTTTGGTAGTCTTCCCTCGTGACTCCCGAGGTTCCCTTGGTTCTTCCCCAGAGGGCGCGAAACCTCGTAAAACTTTCCCACGGATGGGAAAAGCTCGTTCGCAAGGAAAAGGAAGTCCCAAAGCGTGCTTCGCATATTGCCGCTAAGGCAACTTCGCCAAGCGGTAGTTCCCGCGTTGATTCACTTCATTCCGGCATGATAACTGTCCTTTGCGAAATCAACAAATCAAGAGGAAATTTTGATATTACGTCAGATCAAACGATCTATGGCTTCTATACGTGTACTGCGGTAACAGTATAGACCTCTGTATCATTACATTCACGCGTATGTAATGCGTCAATGACGCACGTACATACGCATTAAGGATACGTGTGCGTGATCCCGCGCACGCGTCGGAGTGTGCGTGCGTGCGTGTGGAGCCAAATCCGACCTAGCCACCCGGTCTTCCGCGTTAATGAGTGAAACCGAGATTCCGGCCCAG